ATTTATTTTTATTTTTTTTATGTATGTTACCGCATAACTTTGGACCACGTCAACCGATTTAGATAATTCTGCAACGGAAAGGTAGTGTCTCAGAGGTGGTCCCATACTAATTTGGTTTAGATCCGATCATTGAATCATGAAATATATAGAGATATATATGTGACCTGGTCTACGGAAAGGGGGCTTAGGTGTCAAAAAATCAATTTTCACTTTTTGGTTGATTCGGATGGAAGATGAGGTGCTTTTTCACGTGGTGAAAAGCAGAAAATCCTAACTTGCTTAGAAGTGTACTAAAAATGTAGAGAAAGAAGAGTAAAAATACGACAAAATATAATTTATTGGTAATGAACAAAAAACATTGAATTATAAGCTATAAAGACATGATTATACACTAGAAAAACGTATTATGGGCCAAAAATAATAATGCTGAGTAGTTTATGTATTTTTCTTTGTTATGTCTCTGTCCATATTTCTTCCGCCCAGCAAGCTTTGCGTATACACTTTCTAGCTTTTCGTTACTCATAATTCTTCGATGTGACTTAGTATCACTAAACCAAGTTCATTTATCGACATCTCTAAACAATTGTTCCGCGTACTCTCGATCATTTCCCGTGGTATCAGTGTATGGCATTCATTATTACAACAATCTTTTGACAGAAATTTTGTTACCAGCTCCTCCTCCTTTACATCAACAACATACAGGTCCATCTTAACAAAAGTTTGTTCGGTATCATCTTCTGCCTGAGATACACATACTTCGTCTTCATCATCATCGCTCTCTTCATAGTTTTCATCATCGTTTTCATCATCCTTTTCATGGAAATATTGTCCGTATACGGCACTGAACTCCTCATCAACACTCATGTTTCATTTCATGCGAAGACGATAATCAACAGAAACAGTAAACGTCACTTCTTCAGTGTTACTTTTTTAAATGTTCCACACTAGCAACTTACACGATGTAACTATAATAATATTCCGACCAACAACAACACTTAAAATAAATAAAAATATTCCGACGACCTGATAACCTCCTCCTTTTTTGGAAGTCGGTTAAAAAATTATTGTAAGCTGCACGCAACAATTTAAGTTCATTAAATTTGGAAACTCACAACTGCCTCCACCGCGATTTGAAGTCGTGACCAACGATGCTTGCGTCGGAAGTCTTCTCGCTGAGCTACTTTCGTATTGTATGAGTAGTGAGCATTTGCACATTTACACCGCTAAATTCAACTGTCCCGCTTTGCATCTGTTTTGCACTAGTTCAGAGATATGTAGTTCTGATGTACTTATGTAGTTCCGAACTAGCGCTTTGTCAGACTGTCTCTAAATTTTACTGCAGGGTCATAACAGACACCCCTATTGCGAGTGTCGACTAGTAGTAGATAAACGACTGCTAGTCGATTATCGATTTTCCGTGGTATTTTCAAGTTCGTTTTCTAGTTCAATAAGTGAGTGTGAATAGTTTATAGTCGCTCGTCTTTCTACAAATAAACAATTGGAGAAGGATGAGCGATTAAAAACTATTCACAGTAGCTTAATGAACGAGAAATCGACTCTCACAATACCATGGAAAAGCGATAATCGAATAAGAATATTTTATCTACTACCAGTCGACACTCGCAATAGGAGGGAGAGAGCAAAACACATTTACTCTCATTGTTGCGTTTGGTATTAATACATCTGTACATACATTGCATATGAATACAAACATACATTGGGCATAGCTGGTATTCACTCTTCATCTGTAAGAAAACGATCTACCAATGCTCGTTAAGGACCGAAACGGAAATAGCTTTTTCACTCTTTTGCTTTGCAAAGACAATGGTTATCGTTTTTCTCTTGTACAAACCCTGCAGAAAAAAATTATCAATTGATTAAAATAACCAACTTCTAGTTACCTTTTTTGCGGGAGTTTGACATATAACTAACTTTTAATTAACTTTAAGTTAGTTGTAAAGTCGTGCAAGAGTCATGCAGANATGAATACAAACATGTATTGGGCATAGCTGGTATTCACTCTTCATCTGTAAGAAAACGATCTACCAATGCTCGTTAAGGACCGAAACGGAAATAGCTTTTTCACTCTTTTGCTTTGCAAAGACAATGGTTATCGTTTTTCTCTTGTACAAACCCTGCAGAAAAAAATTATCAATTGATTAAAATAACCAACTTCTAGTTACCTTTTTTGCGGGAGTTTGACATATAACTAACTTTTAATTAACTTTAAGTTAGTTGTAAAGTCGTGCAAGAGTCATGCAGACGTTATCGGGAGTTTGTTTTCTTTACAAGTTTCTATTTAAATATCCTCACAAAAAATATTCAATACACTTTTTTCTGAACTTGGCAGATTTTTTTTTCGTATTCAGGACAAATAAAAGGAATATCGAAATTGTACATTACCATTTTGAAGTTATGTCTGACGGTGTTCGAATATGGGACAGCCCATGGCGCAATAAACAGGTGAAGTAATAAAGCAGCATTCTCTGTTCATTTTCAGACATTCGGCGGCCTTATATTTCACAATGCTGCCGTTATTCGTTGAACGTTTTATGAGTTGCTTCTTTGGAAGTATTTACATATATTTTGGGGGCAATTTGGCCGTTTATTACTTGCTTGCAACATTGTTTTTTCGTAAAATTTTCCGTTTGAATTTTAGTGGAAAATTCGTTTTATCTAAAACTTTCCGTTTGAATTTTTGTGGAAAAATACTATATAACTTATTTGTGATTCAAAAATTAATAATGCCTAAGCCAAGCTGTGTAATTTGCAGAAAAAAGTGGACTTACGAAGGCGTCCGTTTGTTCCATTCACCAGCGGAACAGGTTAGACTGAATAAGTTGGATATTTCAAATATTTAATGGCGAAGTAATTTCTTGCACTACCAACTTCTCCGAAAAATTATTATCCCACAGCCATGAAATAGACCTTCCAATAAATGTGAAAAAGCTATTTTTTAAGTGCAGGATGCATTTCCGTATAAATTATTTTAATAAGCGCTTGAAAGGCTAAAGGTATAATCGATTAATCTTTATAAACCTCCCATATATACCTATTTTAAATGTATTTATTTAAACCTTATAACCATTCACGTGTTGAGTTTTTGTATTCACGTTGCTGATTTCATGTATCTAATTTCATCTCTTCATACAATTATCAAGATTTGTCTATGCATCCGTCCGTGTGTCCTTGGAAGTATTCTTTGAACGAAATCTTTTTTACTAATTCCACCATTTCGAAAAGCGTATTTGCTCAAGACATCGAGTTGTACGTCACTGTCACTTTTAATTGGTTGTTGCATTGGGTACTTTTATTAAGATTTTTGTATGCATTTGTCGCTGAGTCCTTGAAGTATTATTTATGATAAACCTTTTTTAATAATTTCCCGATTTTAACATATTTTTCTACCTAAAAATATCAGTTTGTGCGACATTAACATGATGTTTTGAAACCGTAGTTGGACCTTTCATCTAGAATGATATAGACACTTCTCAATCTGGCTTGTCTTCAGTATCTACGTTCTTGATTGCTTCTCTTTGTGTGAACTATTCCGTGGATTTAGCACATCAATTAACTCTTATTAGCGTCAAAATCTTTATTTAAGTTTCTAATTATTATTTATTACATTGGCTGTAAAGCCTTAAAGCTCTTTGTTATTGTTAGTGTTTGCCTTTCAATACTAAATACAATCGTAATCCACAAAATTGTTTAGCTTCTACATATCTAACTTGAATAAAAAATAATAAATTATGCTTAGTTAATTAAAATGGCTCTTTTATTTTTCAAATAGGGATATTTCAAAAGTAATTTTTAATGTATGTATATGTATAAAATAAAAAACTTTAAATTATTACCCCTTTTGTAGTCAAAAAGGGTAATTCTGTTTAATATTTCTGGCCTTTACCCTTTAAAAAAATCTAAGGGGCGAAAACTTCCAATAAGGTAGTGTCAAATCTTTCTTCTCGCTCTTATTACTTCACCTGGTATTATTCCACCATGGGGACAGCCTACACCAGAATATGTAAACAAATATAAAATGTAATAAAATAAAGTAAATAAATAAATAAAATAAAAGTAAAAAAACAAAAAAAAAATTTGTTTTTCATATTGATATTTTATGTCCAAAAGTAGTTAGCTACAAGTTAGTTGACATCTAATGCAGAGGAAACCAGTTCTCACTTCTCTTTGCGGCCATCGCGCTTCAATAGTAGTTAGTTAGTCGAATGTTAGTTAGTTAACAGTTAGCTACAAACCATGAACCAAATGTGACTATTTCCTGCAGGGAAACAATTTAAATAGATCGCAAATTTTGTATCTTTGGACGAATCATTCGTGAAATGTTTCGTTTGTTTTCGAACTCTGGTTGGCAGCTTTTTTGCGTAATTGATGTTGTTACACAAAAAGGAGGGACCTACAGTTTTACGCCGACTCCGAACTAGGGATGTTGCGAATGTGGAATTTTAGACATCCGCGGATGCGTATGCGGTTGCGGATGTTTAAAGCGAATGCGGATGTCAAATATTTTTAAGAAATAATTTTGGTGAGTACATTAGGTGATTTAGGTAAATAAAAAATGGAAAAGTTACTAATTTTTAAAGTTTTTTTTATTTAGTACTTCAATTAAAAAATTGGAACATTGTATTTAAGAAAGAGTAATTTTGCTGCCTTTTCAGGTTACAGCCTGATTCCTAACGGGTCGTAAATCAAACCTGCGCCACTAAATAACTATTCGCTCGAGGCGACAAACTTGAAACTTGACAAAATTGTAAATTCTTTTCGATTGACGCTGCACCAGTTGAGAGGACTTTCAGTTACGTTTCTTTTTTTATTGCGGTGAAACAGTTTCTTTTTGGGAATTGCATCGGGGCTGCAAATGTCGGATGTATCCTCCTGACTTTCATCTTCACAATCTAGTATCATGGCGTTGTTTAAACACCGTTGTGTTCCAATTTGGAGCATACATTCTTTTGATTGTTTCAGAATTTGGAGAACCTGTTACGTCATCAGCGTTCTTCGATTTCAGTTTTTGTACTTCATTTTTAATCCTGTCTTCTGTGACTGGTTTGAAAAATGTGCGCTTATAGCGAGGTTGTGAATAGGTGGATATGGCAAATAAATTGTTAGTTTCTAGTTTAATAGTTTAAAATCGTGTTATTTTGTTTCTTATAATAATTTGAATTATGGAATCACGGACGATAAAGGTCTCAGATTTGCTTAGTTCTCGGGTGACTCCTTGTAATGGTTCGCCTGTAATAAATACCTTGTAATTTGTTTTTTTTTTATTAGTTAGTTGAGCTTCCTAGTTGCAGGCAGTCACAATTAATTACTCACCGCTGTCGGTACCATAAGCTATCAAATCTGTTTTGTTGTTCCATTCTATGCGCTCAATGTGTTTTGATATATTTTTTGAGGCGAATGAACGCAAATTTCCCACATATATATCGCTAATACTATTTTAAGAGGGCTTATTTCACATTGTTGCTGAAATGCGAAAAACCACAACTAACTAAATTTTTGTATTGCCTAAAACGATGTGGGGACTTATGATTCGATGAAATGCATCATAATCAATCAAAGTTAATTTTGGATTTTTAGTTAGTTACGGCTTTTTGTGAGTTAAGCCCTTTCCATACTATACTAACCATATATTACATGCCAAGTCCCACGCCTCAATAGATATAAAATTCACCTTGAATTAATTCTTATTTAATTTGTGAACTTGACTGTCAACTTATTTACATACCATTTTATCTCTATTTCGATGCGTTCTAATTTTGACAATTTACACAAAATTAAAATAAATGTTTTTGTTTTCGAGCTGAAAGACTAATAGAAGGAAACACGGAACTTAAGAATAAGTTTTATGAGGAAAAAAATAATTACACTAAGAAAAAGTAGAAAACAACTAGAGATGCATCCAGTTTTCTCAACAGACCTTTGACAAATAATATTCGATTCTCTACTTCCTACTTCCTATTCCTACTATTATCTTACGCTTTGACTTTAAATTACGAAAGAAGATGGACGTAGGGGACAGTCTTACCGTAGCATCTCTACAGGCAAAAAATATTGGCTAAAATATTTGTTTGCCAGATATACGTTTTAACAGTGCACTTGTACAATATTCGCAAAAGCTCCGCATTGATTATTGCGAATGCGAATGTCATAATTTATGCGGAAGTTCCGCGGTTGCGAATGCGAATGCGAATATTCACAACAACCCTGCTCCGAACGGCGATTGTATTTTAATGAGAAGGGGTTTTTCATGGCAGAAATACACTCGGAGATTATCTGCCGAGGGGCGACCGCTGTTGAGAAAAAACCTTTTTGTAATTTTTTTTTTGCGTTGTTGCTTTGACCAGGGCGCGCACTGCTTACCACTACACCACAACGGCCGTAACGGCGATTTTTTAATATTAAATAACTTTTGCTGCATTGTCATAATTACGGTGACCATCCGTCCTGTATTATACGGGACAGTCCTCTTTTTTCGTCAATTGTCCTGGTAATTTATTTATTTCATACGGGACGCCAAAAGTTCTGTATTTCTTTTAATGTCCCGTATTCCGTACTTTGGCGCCTTAATAGCTCTTAAAAATGGCATGCCTATGAAAAAGTTTTTATTTTTAAATCTGGACCCTTGTATTCGAATCGAGGAGCACATATCGACTGCTGAGTGGAAGATCGACCTATCTCGGCAGCCAGTTCGAAAACGCGCTATCTCAAAACAATTTCAAAGGTCGCCCTTGTTCAGAATTTT